CCGGTCTTTTCGTCAAACCATGTCAAACTATTAAGCCTAGGGTATGAAAAACTGTCAAACCTTAATTGCTCAATTAGTGTTTGTAGATATTAAACTCATAACCTATAAGATCAAAACTGACACTCAGTTTATCTTATTTACCTCGGCCAAGGATTTCCAGGTTATAGTTATATCAAACAATCTTATGACATCAACCCCCTATACTGGGAGAGACGAATCCCATCTTGGCATCTCAATATCTACTTATGCCTCGGGATGTACCCAACAAGAACCGTTATGCACAACTCGATGAGAACTGTGGTTAGGTAAAAGTCTAAGTACACCTATACTGACATGTAAGATATTACACTTATGCCTCAGGTCATGAGACTACTATGTACTATATCACTTGAGAACTTCTATTTGACAGTTAAGTATAATTACCAACTAGATGTTCTCAGTGAGTCGTTCAGTCAACTCATTCACTAATGAGTCACCTGTATACTATATCTTGATGTCTCACATCAATGATCTAAGAGATGGATCATCGTCCTTCCAAAGGAGAAATAAAGTATATACTAGTCTTACCAAAGTGATGATGTCCCATTTCAACACTTCATTGACTAGGAACATTTTAGAATATACGTTAACGACAAATCAGATCTCTTCATTACGATCATATCCGAAATGTCTGATAGTCTAGTATCATTCTAAGGACTTTATCTGAATTAAAATACCAGATAAATCTGACCAAAATAGCATACTATTATTTTAAACAATGATGTTATATTCATATAGGTCCTGTTACAATATACAATTATTGCCTGCAGGGCACCTATATCCAACAATAAGTACAGAACCCTAAGCTTCCTCTCACGATCATTCTGAGGAAAGGCCATGATGAAATTTCTTTAAAAAAATGAAAGTACCTATGAAGAAAAATGTTCTTGAGATGGAGTACTCTCCCAATAATATCGGCAACTATTTATATACCCCCGAAGAAGCAGGCAGGAGAATTCAAAAGGATCAATCCTTGGAGCAACCAATGCAGATGCGCTTCGGGAATCTAAAGTGGGTCATTGGAGATATGAACCACAATTCACACCAATCTAGTGGCGAAGCGAAGTGCCGCCCGCTCTGACCCATGACACCCCATTTTCTATGAAGAAACCGTTCCCAAAACCGACACCATCAATTCACTAAAGGGTGGCGATTGAGCGCACTCCACGCCACGTCCCTAAGACACGATCAACGGGCTAGAATACCCTAAATGTTTGGAACAAACCCACTCTATTTCACCCAGACCCGACCAAAGTCAGCTCTGACTGAAAGGGGCCAACTGTTATGGTCATTCACCGCACCAAAATAGAAGTATTGGAAGAACACCTGCATAAGCCCAAGAGAGCTATGGTCCGAATCAACTTTAGAGGCTCAAAAGCACAGTCAGAGCCAAGTCCCTCGACAAGACGAGCAAACAAGCCTTAATCCGATCGACAGGTCATCATGACCGACACAAAGAACGAGATCAGTCGTTTCCTCGCTATTAAGACGACTCGATTACACACCCGACCCATAGTTCACTCGAGGGTCGGGTCACCAAATCATAATGTTAGCTCACGGATCAACCCACCTCAACTAAAGGGATAAGATCCGACCGGGATCACTTCAAATGTCACTCGAAGCTACAGCATTGACCAGTCCCATCAAGACATACGCTCTGACAAGGATCTCCCGCACAAGCCGCCCATTCCACTCACAAGTCATTTCCCAGAGAATTGTCATGATAATTCTCTGTACAACGAATGACTTCTCCTGCAATTCCTAGCTGCCGCCTGGAGAGGGAGAAGGACGGCCACACAGCTGACCTACCCTACACTATGCCTACTCTGACAAACCCAGAACACTGAGAAGAATTCTCTCCCCTGACACCGAGTGACTTCCCTCCCAGTCGCCTGCTAACATCTAGAGGAAGAAAGATGACTCAGTAGCCTGTCTATTCACCTTTCAAACCGCCTCATGTGCATAGTCAACAAAAGCTGAGGGTCAAACTCCCAGAGGTAGGGGGGCTATAAAAGGAGGTAAGGAAGGTAAGGGCAGGATGTTGGTTGGCAACTTCTTCTTGCACTTTACCTTTACTCTCTCTTTTGTATTTTTAAGACTTCCACAGCTAAACCCCTTGCAAGGACCTCAATGGCCCAGGGGCCTCTCAACAAACCCTCCCCAAGTTCATCAACTGACTTGACCGTTGGAGGTACCACGGGGGAAACTAGCCCCGTATTCCTGCGAGATAATATTGAGAAGAACGAGATTGTATTCATGGAAGGAGGAAGCATATTCATAGTCGTTACCGTTTTCTACGAGATAATATTGAGAAGAACGAGATTGTATTGGTTTATTGCAAGTTTGAAGATTACGTTGCGGACATCCTCACGAAACCCTTAAAGGTTCAAGCATTTGTCAAGCTGAAGCGTATGATGAGAATGAGGACTTTATGGAATTAGAATTAAGAGGGGATGTTCAAAGATAATCCTAATTCTAATGGGTTTTTGAGTTAGTTATCCTTAGAAGTTTTAATTTATAGGAGTTTGATTATCTTTAAGTTAGTTTAAAGATAGAGTTAGTAGTTCAAAGGAATAGGATTTGGTTTGTTTTAATTATCTTCTAGGAGTTGTACTATTATACAATTCTTTATTGTATAAATTTTATGGACCTTCATATAGGCACGTGGGTTCCCTGTACCTACAAGATGTAGAAGGGGAAAAAAAACAACAGAGGGTAAAGTTTTGTTCTCTTTTACTTCTTCATCCCTTCTTTTCTCAATATTACATAAATAATTTGTTTTGCTAGTTTCTCCAATAGTTGGGAGATGTTATGGCTAAAGGCAATGCATACATTGCTTTTGAGAGTAAACGAGTAATTGAAAAAACATTAAATAAAACAGTACTCGATGGTTCACAAGTGGAGTATTCATTCCATAAGGGTTTGCTAAATCCAATGGTACTGCATTATTATTTCAAATGTATTCTGAGTGAGTTATTTCAGCTCCATGGTCTCTTTTTTATGAAAAAATGCAAAAAAAAATATCGGAATAAAATGAAAATATAGAATATAATATATAAAATAGTAGTGATTTCTATGTTTAACAAGAACTCTCATTTTGTTGCGAACTTATAATAAACTCTTTAATTTTAATAAATTAATAAAAAAATTTAGAAAGATAGAAAGAATAAAAGAAAAATATTTTATCTAAGGTTATTTGCATCTACTTATAAGAGACAAAAATATGGTCCATATTTTATTTGTGATTCTCATAACAGGAAGGAATTGCTGACATTACTAATTTATGAGACTGCTGAAGCAAAGCAAAAAAGAAAAAGGCAGTACATTCAACTTAAGAAAGACTTATCCAAAGTCAAACGAAAATAATACAATCAGCTTAAGAATGACTTCTCCAAAGTCTAAAAGTGTGTTTGGGAGTTTATTTAGGGACGGGAAGGAAGGGGAAAAATTCCACTTCCTTCCCTTCCCCTAGAGATGTTAAATGGGTGGGTATGGGTTTAAATGGGCGGGCCATAAATGGGCGGGCATGTTTTGCCCATTTACCCATTTATGGCCCATTTAACATTATTTAAATGGGCGGGTTTTTGCCCGCCCATTTAATAAACGGGTGGCCCATTTGCCCATTTAACTATAGTACATATATATGTATAATACTTTTAGGGTGTTTTTTGTAAACTTTTAGGGTTTTTTTTTGTAAACTATTGTGGGCTTTTTACAAACTTTTTGGGAGCTTTTTGCAAACTTGTTGGGGTTTTTGATAAAATACTAACAAAGATAGGAACATAAACAAAGATAAACAAATGCAGACAAATTCATGATTGAACCATTTACAAGCATGGATAAAAATACAGACCTCACACATTTGCAAAATTAACCTCAAATTTCCAAACCAAAAACCAAAAGATCAATAACAACAAAATTACGAGTATATTTAAATGAATTAAGATAGAAAACACAAGGTATGCAAGGATCTGTATAAGATCAATAACTTGATATAAACGCCATCATAACTATCAGCAACACGATCACGATTAGTAAGGACAATCTACTTAATTACTTGATAAACTAGAAGAGTAGTAAGTTCGTCTATAAACAAAATAATAGCACAACCATAGTCTACTTATTTCCCATCTTTCAAATGTCCAGGCATGAACAGGATCATGACAGAAGAAAGAAAAGACCAGGAAACAAAGATCAGCAGCAGCAGCAGCAGCAGCAACAGCAACAGCAGCTTCAGCAGCAGCGCTTGCTTTCTCGTCAGAATTCGTCTGTGCCATTTATTGAACAAATTCAAGGTTCTCTGCAGCATCAACAGTCAGTTAACCAGTATATGCCAGAGTTGGAGCAATTTTTGAAACTTCAGTTAGAGGAGCAACATCATCTTCAACAGCTGCAGCAGCAACAAGAATTGCATCAGCAACAACAGCAACTTCAGCTCCAAATGCAACTAAAAATCATGAAACTTTACTTGGTTAATTGTTCAATTTTCGAACATTTGCTGCAGCAGCAGTTGAATGACCCTGTTTATCAACTTAGTTAAGTGTTACGCGGCATGAGTCATAAGAACATTTCATATATAAACTATTAATGAGATTGCTAAGTCAAACTATCAAATTAAACAATTAACCAAGTAAAGTTCATGAACCATGGGAACTGTATTAATATATAAAGAACTTAATATTTGTAATCTCATGATTTAAGGGAAATCCTTCTTGGTATTTGTACGTGTAGTGTAAAAGTGAGGCAAAAGCTCAAAAATTTTGCTTTCTCATATACTAATTAATTGTAGGATTAGTTGAACATACAAGTACATAAAAGTATTCACACTTTAAATCATTACACAAGAATCACACATACTGATATCACAAAAATAGTGCATTTATAGTACATAAAAGTATCCCACCCACAAAAGGGATTCCATACCTGAAAACTTCTGCTATAGTCTCATCTTCTGGAGAAAATTTATGTGCCTTTCTCAAGTCGGAAACAGCAGCCTGATCAAGCGGTGAGTGAATAATACTATCATTAGTGGATATGATGCTTTAAAATGGAGACAAGATGGTGGACAGTGGACACAATAATTGTTTAAAATCAAGACACGAGAGTGAAACTATGTTGCATATATCAGATTCCATATGCTTGTGAAACATGCACACAAGCATGCACCACTACATACACATATATTACAGGACACGCTCAGATAGAGCTAACAAATTTATCCAAAACTTAAAATCACATTAGAATAATTTCATGCTATGAATTAGCCGAATAATAACTAAAGAATTTTATGTTCTCAAGCATATAGTGTCTTATAACCTTACAATTCAAAACATTGGTTCAAAAATTCGAGGAAGATTCTTAATATTACTAATTTCATAATACTTGATACAATGTTACAATCAAAATCAGGACAACCTTAAAAAAAGTGTATGTAAATGTAGTGATATTTCATTCAGAAACCAAGAAATTATATTATTTTAAAGGCAATTTTATATAATATTCACAAACTACTCTTAGATATTCACAAATCTACTAATTAATATCAAACTACTACAAAATTAATTCTTTTTTTCAAAAACTAAGAAATATATTTTACAACCTAATTTTAACAATAATTAGAATCTAAATTTTTATAAGCAAGTCAAAGGAAGAGTACATTAAACTTGATAGAGGCAAAAACTCAAAACACCTCACAATTAGAAATAATAACACAAAAATAGCCTCACACTTTGAAACCAATGGAAATGTTCTCACAATTGGAAAAACCAAACCAATGCCCACACATTTGGGAAAACCCCAAACGAAAAGAGGAAAAAAAAACACTAACAAATAACCAATTTTCAAGTCAAGTGCGCGTTGCGTGCACCAAGATACTACTGATACTATGTGGCAATTCTAAAAGATAACAAAAGAATCATATCAATTATCAAATTATCAATCCGCTTCTCTACACAAGACAACAAAGTTTTGCTCTATGAAAAGCCATCATCATCAAACTGAGCTTATTGAAATCAGTAATAGTAAAGACAGATAAGAAGAAGGACAGCTGAAGGAGAGGCCTTCATAGAGCAACCTGATTAGATATACAGAGTAAGCCAATTTGAGGCATACTGGGTCCAAGGTTGAGAAACCATCGATAAAGAAATTCCAAAGCATAGTAAGCCAATTTGCTATTATCAGCTTGCAATGCAACATCAGCATTAGTGTTACACTTACACATGTTCCAGTTTGGACTCAAGGCCTTGTTCAGGTCACTTGTCTGAAAGCATACAGATAAGGACGCATGATCAATGTAGACAATGAAATCAACACAACAAAATTAAAGACGTCTTATTGCGTGTGCGTGCGTATAATACATAAGAATATGCCATGATACTCTCTTATTGCTATACTTGAATGTCATGCCATGTTGTTAACGTTTGATTTATAATTGCAGGCCGGGACTTCTAGACAAGGTGGAGCTGGTGATGAGGATGATGATCAAGAGGACTGATTTGTTTTTTTACCTTTGAAAACAATGAATGAGTGTGTTGTATAAACAATACTTATCATGGTGTGTACTGTATAAACAACGCTTACTATGTTGGGATATTTTAATTAAATTATGTGTTATATATGCGTGAGAATGAATATTATACTGCTGATTGAACAGGATTTTAAATTTATTATATTATTGTACAGGTTTTTTCAATTTTCAAATTATTTTTTAAAAAAATATTGGAAGCTTTTAGCAACGGATTATCCGTCGCTAAATACACTTTTAGCGACGAAAAATAGATAATATTAACGACGGATTTTCCGTCGCTAAAGTTAATAGCGACGGAATATTCGTTTTTTTTATTTTTTTATTTTTTCAAAAATAGTAATTAGCGACGGATTTTCCGTCGCTAATAGTTATTAGCGACGGATTTTCCGTAGCTAAAACATGTTTTAGCTACGGAAAATCCGTCGCTAATAACTATTAGCGACGGAAAATCCGTCGCTAATTACTATTTTTGAAAAAATAAAAAAATAAAAAAAACGAATATTCCGTCGCTATTAACTTTAGCGACGGAAAATCCGTCGTTAATATTATCTATTTTCCGTCGCTAAAAGTGTATTTAGCGACGGATAATCCGTTGCTAAAAGCTTCCAATATTTTTTTAAAAAATAATTTGAAAATTGAAAAAACCTGTACAATAATATAATAAATTTAAAATCCTGTTCAATCAGCAGTATAATATTCATTCTCACGCATATATAACACATAATTTAATTAAAATATCCCAACATAGTAAGCGTTGTTTATACAGTACACACCATGATAAGTATTGTTTATACAACACACTCATTCATTGTTTTCAAAGGTAAAAAAACAAATCAGTCCTCTTGATCATCATCCTCATCACCAGCTCCACCTTGTCTAGAAGTCCCGGCCTGCAATTATAAATCAAACGTTAACAACATGGCATGACATTCAAGTATAGCAATAAGAGAGTATCATGGCATATTCTTATGTATTATACGCACGCACACACAATTTTTACAACAACGCATACACACACCCTAACAACGCATGCACGCATAATTTTTACAACAATACGCGTACACGCACAATTTCTCACCATATGCGCATGTACGCGTACATGCTCATACGTGTACATGCACATACTCGTATACGCACGCACGCACACATACACGCGTGCACGCATGCACGCATGCACCACACTCCACACCCCCCACCCCCCACCCCCTCCCCCTCACCCTACATCACCACCACCACCAAATCCACACTCCTTCCCCTCCCCCACCATGACCAAATCACCCCCAAGCAATCACATAACCAACCATACGCACGCACGCACCACAACAACACAACCACGACGGATCGGGTCTGGTAGTAGGCGGAGATGCTAGGTCTCAGGTTAGGGATTTGTCGAGGACGAACGAAGCGGACCGTCTCGGAGGAGGAGGCGGAGGAGGCTGGGATTGAGGCGGCGGAAGAACTCAGAGACTCAGAGAGAGAAAGTGAGAAACGAAGGGATTTTAGGGTTTTGGGCGGGTGGGCGGGCGGGCGGGTATAGAATGCCCATTTAGACCCGTTTAAGTGGATGTAAAATGCACCCGCCCGTTTAGACCCATTTAATTAAATGGGTGGGTTTTGGGCGGGCCAAATAATGGGTGGGCCAGATGGGTAAATGGGTATGGGCATAAATTGCCTTCCCTACCTTCCCCTCCATTACACCCCAATTTGGGGTGTAAGAATTTGGGCCAAAGTTCTCCTCCATTCCCCTCCTCTATCCTTCTAAATGAAACCTCCAAACAATGTTAAAACAAAATTTCCCTTCCCTTCCCTCTCTCTACCCTCCATCCAAACATGCCATAAGATAAAAACTTTACATGGTGGCAATACATGGTGCCCAAAGTTGTTGAAGAACTTGATGAAAAGATGAAAAGAAGAATGAAGACGACGAAGAAACATAGCACCTTTCAAGTTTTATCGACTAATATTAATACAAATCACCTCATCACAAATCTTTCATTGTATCGTAGAAATTGTCAAATGGTAACTACCTACGGAGATCTGACTTGATTATGATCCTTTCTGAAATTCTCCAGTCGTATATACATTTTGCTATCCATATCCTCTCGAAACTCTTCAATATTTTTATATGTATATATGTATTGTTTAGTGTTTTATATATATATTTTTCAACTTAACGATAAAAGCAAGCACGTTCAACGCACGCTCCCTTCTCATTAGTCTTAAATTAAGCACAAATATATGAATAAATAAATAAATGCCCAAAAGCTAGTATCTGGCCAACTTTCCGGCATTAAACACTATCACAAATTCTTATCCCTCTACTTGTCACCCACAGCTCACGCGGGCCCATCCCCTCAGCCGACAGCTCTTGTAACTTCCCAAATAACCCCCTACCCTCTCTCCCTCGCTCGAGACCTCATGCTTTCGCACTCAAGATCCCCCGGAGCTCTCCTCCTTCTAGAGACAATAGAATTTTCATTCTTCTAAGACCCTAAAAAATCATTAAATAAAAACCTGAGTATAAACATATAAAATTCCAAAATTTTACAATTTCATTTCGAGAGTAGTACAATTATTTTTGGGTTGTTCAAGTATATATGTGAATATTTGCAAAACTATACCCAAATCTTAGTATTTGCAAAACTACCATTCAAATTATCAAATTTGGAAGAAAAAAACACTTAAAATCAACAAATCATTGATTTGGGGACTTTTTTTTGAAAATTGATTATTTGAGGGGTAGCCCAATAAATTGATGATTGATTGATTTAAGGACATTTTCTTTTTTGAAAATTGATTATTTGAGGGATAGTTTTGCAAATACTAAATTTGAGATAGTTTTGGAAATACTCATGAGTTAATGGGTATATATGCAAATAACCCTCCTACATAATAGGAATCTTTCTATTTTATCCCTCAAACTATGTTTAGAGTTTTAATGTGATCATTTTTATGAGTTTACGGTTAAATATTTAACAAGCTAACTACGTAAGATTTTTTTTTTTTTTTTTTTTGCATTTTGTATGAGTTTTCATTAGTTTATCTCATTTTACCCCCAAACTAAAATTATTTTAACTACTTTCTTCCATTACCTTTTACCCTTTAACCTTGTTTTATGAATTCAAAACTCATTTTCTAATTGCAAAATATACAAGAAATGAAAAAAAAAAACACTATGACATTATTAGTCTATTAAATATTTACTTGTATGCTCATAAAATGATCACACTGAGCACATAAAAATAGTTTAAGAGGGAAAATAGGCAAGGAGACCCTTTGTCTCTCTTTTTTTCCGGATTACTAAAAGTGGCTTTGTGATAGATTAGATAGAGCGAGGAAGAGATTTTTTTGGACTGGTGATATAAATAGTGCAAGAGAGTCAAGTTTAGCTGCTTGGGATGGGGGTGTGTAAGGCTAAAGCTAGTGTTTTTTCCTAGTCTTTATGCTTTAGCTGAGAATCCTAAAGCTAGTGTTTTTTAATTTCCTACCTGAAGAAGTTGCGTGATAACTAGGTTTGGGCGATCTCTTTTCATCAAGCAGCTGTAAGGGGACATGGTTGGTCCAATATTTGAGTTTATTACAATAAGTGAATAAAGTGGCTATGAGTGAAGGAGAAGACATTAGAATATGGAGGCGGTATAATAAAGTTGTTTTCTCTGTGCAATCTCTTCATAACTTTCTTATGGATGGGGGTGTGAGATGTGGGTTTGAAAAACTATGGTCAATCCCAGTTCCTTCGAAAGTAAAGATTTTGATAATGATTGGTTAATAAAAAAAGCTTAACACTAAGGATAGGTGAAACAGAAAACGGATTATGGTAGATCCCATGTGTATTCTGTGTGGTGAGGAGAATGAGAATCATAATCATCTTTTTGTAAAATGTAAATTTCTAGTTTACGTGTGGAACTCTGTCCCATATAAACTCCAAATTACTAATTGTTGGATTTAAATCTAATTAAATCTATTTGTGGGCACATATGATTAATCTGTGTGTATTGCTATCCTTCAGGATAACCCACTGAAGTGATCAATTAATTTGGGTCAATGGGTATTTAAATAAATCATGGGGTTATATGTGCAGATACCAGGTTGTAATTGTAATTTGATGAGGGGCCAAATTACAAATGTACAACACCTATAAATAAGGGGTTATGATCCCTAATCTAGGGTAACATTCTCTAATTCTCTTCACCCCCATCTAGAGAGAAATTTGGCTAGAGAAACCCTAAGGTTAGAAGATCATCAAAACCCTAATCAGATTTTTATATGCTTCCGCACTTTTTGATTCTTGTTAATATCTTCGAATTAATCATGGCTTTAAGATTTAGATCTCAAGTTTTTATTAGATCTAACAAGTGGTATCAGAGCCACATTGATTTGTTCTAAGAGATTAAGATTAAAATTAGGATTCATTGATCTTAATTTGTATTATTCAGATCTGTTCATGGATGAACAGTACCTTTTTTATTTTTTCGGATGAACAGTAAAAAAATAAAATCATCCTTTAATTTTTCCAATTCTGGATCTGGTTTTGAAAATAAAATCGAGGATTTTTTGGATTTTTTGGGTTTGGTCTTCGGTCTCATGCTCCCCGCCGGCGAAGTTTCGCTGGCGGCCTCGCTCTCGACTCCGACGGCGACGGCAGCGTCAGGAAACCCTAGGGTTTCGACCTTGGGTGCAGGAGCAATGACGGCGGCGGTTTCAGATTGAAACCATTAGGGTTTGTGCGTGAAAACGTGGCGAAAATTAAGGAGGTGGTTACCTCAAAATTTTGGCGAGGCTTGAAAGCTTTAAACGAACTTCGCGTTTGTTCTAAGGTGAGCCTCGCGCTCAGTTCTAAGGTGAGCCTCGCGCTCAATTTAAACGAACTTCACGTTCCGCGCTCAATTTAAACGAACTTCACGTTCGTTCTCAGGTGAGCCTCGCGCTCAATTTAAGTCGAACCTCACGTTCGTTCTCAGGCGAGCCTCGCGCTCGATTCAAACGAACCTCGCGTTCGTTCTCAAGTTGAACTCTGCGTTCGTTTTCAGTCGAACTTCGCGTTCATTTTTTAGTCGAACTTCGCATTCATTTTTCAAACGAACCTCGCATTCGTTCTCAAGTTGAACATCACG